GCCAACCCCCTGGTCTGGCTGCAGAGGGAGGATTCATTCCCCTGCTGTAGGGAACAGAGGTGAACATCTCCCAGTGTGCAGAGTTCACCTCAGAACCACCAGATGTGCTGTCCATCTGTCCCAGGCAGGGATTAGAGCTGAGCACCTGCCATGGTGGGACCTGACCCACTGGGAAGGTTTCCCAGAACTGCAATTTTGCCTGGTACAGGCTCTCTCCCACTGCTCTCAGCTTCCCTTAGCAATTTCCCACATCTTCCAGCTCTGCTTTGTGAAGAATTCTTTTTTTTCCCCTTTGCAGTTGTTCTCCATTCAATTTTATTGGCAGTTGCTAACACCATCCACCCTCCAGGCTTTTTGTCAGAACTGCCTCTCTGCTTGTGGCCTTTTTATTCCCCAACACCTTTCCGTAGAGAATGTTTCACTTTTGTTCGTTTTCGTTTCCCCCTCTACAATTTTCTATTCCTAATTATCATTAACTTGGAGAACTTGCTCCTTTTGAAGAGCAGATAATTAATTTCCAGGGCTGACGTCTTTCTCCCCTGTAATCAGATCCACATCCTCGTTCCCTCGTGCCCTGTGTGCTGCCTTTTTGTGCTGGGCTGATCTCCTGAGGCTCTCAGCTCCCAGCTTGTGGCCCCCAGCACGTGGAGATTAGGGGGCAGGAGTGGCAGGAGGGGCGCTGGAGCCTCACAATTTTGGCAACAAATGGAAGGAAAATGCCAACAAGCAGCTCATTTATTGCTGAAGAGTTGAAAGATCCCAAGCTCTTGCTGCGATCCAAGCAGGGAGCAGACTAAGGTGGATTTGATGATCTCAGAGGTCTTTTCCCACCTCTGATTCTATGAGATAAACCCTTGAATGGATCCTGAGCAGCCACAGGTGACTTATCCCACTGTCAGAGAGTTGCTAAAGGAAGGCACAGAGGGGATGCACTCAGAATTGAGCCTGGAACCATCACACCCCGAGCCTCAGGAGTCCTCAGCTCCTCCAAAAGCTGAGCTGGGCACAGGAAGCCTCTTCCTCCTTGGCCCCTCACTCTGCCCAGGGTGGAACCAGCAGGAATTTCCCCATGGAAAGGGAGCTCAGGCCTTGGAACTGCCCAGGGAGGTTTGGATGCCCATCCTGGAGGTGCCCAGGGAATTCCTGGAGGTGTCACTCAGAGCTCTGGGCTGGGACAGGGTGGGGATGGGGCACAGCTGGGACTGGATGGGCTGGGAAGGCTTTTCCAGCCTCAGGCATTCTGTAATTCTCTGTGATTATCCTAAAAATGTCCTGAATGTGCCAGGGTCTCTTGCTGACCCGGACAAAACTTCCCTCACGGATATGAGCCACTTTTCCTCGTGTGGCTTTCATCAAACCTCCCAGAATATTCTGTTTTTTCCAAGGTAGCGTTTTCCTTGAGCCACTTTTCCTCATGTGGCTTTCATCCAACCTCCCACAGTGCTACGAATATTCTGGTTTTTCCAAGGTATTATTTTCCACGTGAGGCTGGAGCACTGAACCAGCCCTTCCCAGGAACCAGAGGGGTCCAGGGGCTGTCACAGCTGACAGCTCCCTCATCCCAGCTCCCAGTGGATTCTCAGGAACATTGAACCAAAATACCAAATCCAGGCTCAGGGCCTCGCCTCATGGCTTCTGGCACTAATCAAGATGAATGTTTTAGGAGTTTCCTAGAAGTGAACCTCAAAGTTTGCACATATAATTGGGTTTCAAGGCCTTTGGACAAAGTATTTCCACCCTCAGATCACCCTCTCCACTGACACTAGCACCAGCACTCCAATTAGAGGGGCTGCTTAAACTCCATCAACGTCTTGTGCAGCCTAAAAGCTTTTTAAATGAGGCTCACAGCCACGAACAAGGTAAATACATTTGTAGATTTGTTTGGGCAATTACAGTCATTTAAAAAACAATGCATAATAAGAGACATGAATCTAATAACCATCGCTAATTAAATGTATTAATGCCACGTTATAAAACGAATGCATCTTGCTGATATGTTGCAGCTCCTTTTGTGCTGTAAACACTCGAGCAGTGAGAAGGGCAGAATTTGCATCCCTGGGCATTGCTAGTGCCCAGGGATAGAGGAAATTAATTTGCCCCAGTGGAGCCAATCTCCTGCCCAATCTCCTTTGTGGGCCTGCTGCTCGTTTTCCTTTGCTCTGTGAGCACCAGTTGCAGTAAAATGGAGCTGGTTAACCCCAGAATATGGGACACCACTACAAAGCATTTGTGAAGACTCTGCTTTGAACTGTGCTCCTCTGCCAATTATAATTTGCAGCAGGTACAACATTCCCAGGCTGTGGAAAAGCCATTTCTCTGTCCTGGGAGAGTTCAGTCAATTTTACCTGACATTAAGTGTTCAATAGCACAATTTTCCTTCTTTCACTTTCATCTCTTTGGAAAATGTCACCAAACTGGAGTTAACCAATTGACCACAGACCTTTTGAGGAGTCAGGCCCAAAGGAGCCCCACGGATGGTTGAGAGCCAGGCTGGGATCCCCTGGGCACCCCAAAACACCAACATGATTGTTTAAAACACTTAAACAATCAGGCTGGGCCATGCTGGGGGTGCTGAAGGAGGGGCTGAAGGGGTTCAGCAGGTTTGGGGAGCTGGGTAAGGAGTGGGGTCAGGGCTGTAGGGCAGAGAGCACCCTCAGGCCTGCTGAGATTTGTTCCAGTGGTGGCAAAGTCACTCCCCAGGGTCTCCAATTTTATGTAAGAAGGAGCAGCCACATGTTCCCTGTTATCAAACTGCCCGAAAATCACAGAATCCCAGGATGGGCTGGGTTGGGAGGGACCTTAACCCCCATCCCATGGCAGGGACAGCTCCCATTGACCCAGGCTGCTCCCTGCCCTGTCCAGCCTGGCCTTGGCCACTGCCAGGGATCCAGGGTGGGCAACTGTGCCAGGGCCTGCCCACCCTCACAGGGAACAATTCCCAATTCCCAAAATCCCATCCAGCCCTGCCCTGTGTCACTGGGAGCCATTCCCTGGGTCCTGTCCCCCATCCCTTGTCAATTCTCTCATCTCTTTGTAGCTCCTTCAGGTCCTGGAAGGCCACAGTGAGATCATCCCTGGTCTCCCTTCCAGGTGAACAATCCCAGCCTTTCCTCCAGCAGAGCTGCTCCATCCTCTGCTCATCCTGGAGCCTCTCTGGGCTCTGCAACAGCTCCAGCTCCAGCTGAGATCCTCCACCCCAGCCCAGGGGAGCAGAGGAAGGTGCCCATGGCAGTGCCAAGTGGGCAGATGTCTCCAAGAGCTCATGGACAGAAAGCCTTGACCTTTGGCTAATGAATCACTCCTAATGAAAAGCCTGTCCAGCTGGATTTAATTGCCTGGTTTGGGCAGATATGGCTGGAAAATCTCAAACCTGTCAAGATTTTTTCCACCCCCTAAAGCATCAAATTATTCACCGTCCTCTTGTAGCATTTTGCAGCCAACTCTTTCCTGTGATGATTTTCAAAGGATGAAGAATGAGCACCCTGGTGACATTTCTAGTATCTATAAATATCTCCTCACTACCCTGCCTGCCCAACTGGTGAATTATGCAGGGAGATATATATAATAAAACAATCAGATCCATTTTGTTGTCAACAGACCATTCTTCTTCAGCTGACAGGAGAACAGCTCAGGCTGTGGCTCTGGAAAGAGCAGGCAGTGCCTGGGGAGTTACTGAGCTTCTCCTTTCCTGGATGTACAGGGGCAGCTTGGAGGGCAACACTGAGCAGAGAGAGGCTCTGCTATGCTGGAAAAAGGAGGAAAGGTTGTAAAAGATAAAAAGAATGAAGCTTAGGAGAGCAAAAGTCTCTGGAATGGCAGGAAATCCCACATCCAGAACACTGAGAATCACATGGAATCACAAACAGCATCACTGAGGTTGGAAAAGATCTCAAAGACCATCGAGGCCAAGCTGTGCCCCATCCCCACCCTGTCCCCAGCCCAGAGCTCTGAGTGCCACCTCCAGGAATTCCCTGGGTACCTCCAGGATGGGCACTCCAAACCTCCCTGGGCAGTTCCAATCCCTGAGCTCCCTTTCCATGGGGAAATTCCTGCTGGTTCCACCCTGAGCCTGCCCTGGCCCAGCCTGAGGCTGTTCCCTCTCCTCCTGTCCCTGTTCCCTGGGATGAGATCCCAAATTCCCCCCTCCCAGCTGTCCCCTCCTGTGAGGAGCTGTGCAGAGCCACAAGGTCCCCTCTGGTGAAAGCAGCCTTGACGATGTCCCAGTGAAGGACTAACCCAGCATGATGGATTATCTGGAGCACCATGAACTTCCTTCCACTCCTCTTTTGTGTTTAATTCAGCAGTGCTCTGTTCATGCATCTCAACCTCCTGCATGCTGAAATACACCGAGAATTTAATGTGCCCAACTCTGCAGAGCTGTGGGAAGTGACCAGTTTACATTTCATGTCTAATTGGCAGGTCTTAATTTAAATTGGGAGGGATTTAATTTAATAGCAAAGCTTTCCCCAGCTAGTAGACCTCTTCTAGCAGGGACTCATTATGTGGGATACTCTGCAGACCCTGTTGCCTCATTTATGGGTTAGAGGCAATTTTAAAAAGCCAGCTTAAGACAGCTCTCTCCCTTCCATTAGATATTTGCAGATGGCTTTTGCTAAGCCATAACTAGCTCCTTCATCATTAATTTTTTGGGGGCTGTGCCTTGGGGAGAGTGCCTAGCAATTAAAAAAAGTTCTTACCAGAGAGTTTGCCCTCCTTACCTTCATCCAGAAGTTTGTCGTTCTCCAGGACTGCAGGGATGAGGATTTTGGATGTTGTCATTCCTGCAGGGAGAGAGCTGCTGTGCTGCTCGGGGCAGGAGAGTTCCTGTGCATCTCCTGCAAAGCCTGAGGGCTTCCCCCTCCTCAGTGCCTCTCAGTGGGTGTCGATTTCTCTTTTGGGGTTCTGATGGTCAGGGTGACCCCAAGAGAGATCATAAAGAGTCTTTGCTTCCCTAGCCTGAACGCAGGCAAAGAAGGAGCCTGGAATGCTCTGATTGTGCATCAAGGTTGTTTATTTCTTCTTATCTAAACATTCTTTCTCTGACCTGCTGAGCTCTGCCTAGCAAGGAGGCTGTGGCATCCTGCCCTTGAGCCCTGGGCTGCTCCCACATTATATATTCAAAACTACGTGTCTATGTTTACAATTTATTACCAATTCCCATCATCTATGTTAGACTGTGAATCTCTACCTTAAACCAACAGAAAAGTGTCACCATCACACCAAGACATGGAGGGCAAGAAGAAAGGAAAGAAGGTCAGGACACGCCCAAATCTGTCCATCTTGTACCCCCTTGAACCCCATTCTAAAAATCCCAAATTTCTACTTTTTCATCCTGTGTTAGTTCAACTACCACACTGCTCAAACCCTTGTGGCTTGTAATTCCTCATACAAAATTGAGAGCTTTTTCCATGGGCTAAAATCAAAGCCACAGGTGTTTGTGACTTCATGCCAAGGGTCTGGAGCCAGCCAGGGCAGCCAGAGGGATGTGCTGGGCTCCCACAAGTGGGAGCAAAGCTGATCCCCTGGACTGGCAGAGAGTTGAGCACATCTTCTGCCACGTGCCAAAGCCACCCGTAAAACCACTCAGTGTGAGATGAGGCTCTGAGAAACCAAACAGTGCCCACAGAAATGCTGTCCTGGTTGAACCCCAGCAGCAGCCAAGCCCCCCACGCCCCCAGCTCCTCCCTCCCTGTTTTGGTCACATCCCCAGGACACAGAGATAACTTGGGAGTCCACCAGAGAGATGGAACTTGGTTTAACTCAGCATTTCATTGTATAAACTGTGTGACATTGTGGGGGATTTGCAGAGCAGGGGCTGTGCTGGTGCCTCAGATCTGCAGCAGCAAGGCCACACCGGCGAGCACCCACTTGGACGGCTTCTCCTTCGTTTTGAGGTTAAAAGTCCACACGTAGGTCGGCCCCCTCTGGCGTGTTTTGTACAGAGGACACGGGTACAGGCCCCGGGTGTCCTGCTTCTCATCAGGAACAGCCCTGATGAACACCACAGGCATGGCCGGGGTCAGCTCCTTGAGCCTGGCCTCCGTGATGGTCCCGGCCTGCAGAGAGAAGAACAGGTCACATCTCCAAGGTGTCCACCAGCTCTCCGATGCACCTGAGCCCCCGTGATCTTCATCCCGGCTGCTCCTGCTGGGGAGGGGCAAACAGCTCCTCCAGGGTCAAGGGGCTGGATAAGCCTCTTTGAGGAAGCAGCTCTGGATCCAAGAGCTCCTGTCTCACCTGTCTTTGATCCATGAGCTCCTGTCTCACCCATCTCTGGATCCAAGAGCTCCTGTCTCACCTGCCCTGGATCCAAGAGCTCCTGTCTCACCTGCCCTGGATCCAAGAGCTCCTGTCTCACCCATCTCTGGATCCAAGAGCTCCCTGTCTCACCTGTCCTGGATCCAAGAGCTCCTGTGTCACCTGCCTTTGATCCAAGAGCTCCCTGTCTCACCTGTCTTTGATCCAAGAGCTCCCTGTCTCACCTGTTTGTGGATCCAAGAGCTCCTGTCTCACCACAACCCTCCTTAACGTAGATCATCTCAAGGCTCCAGCTGCCTGCACTCCCACCAGATGCTCAAACCCTCCCATCCCAGCTGGATTTCATGTGGGAATACTGCCCTTGGCCCTGTCCAGCCATATTATCATCAAAGTTTCACTTCTCCTCTCCTGGTTTCTTTCCTCTTGTCCTGTGCCAGGGAACAGGGACAGGACAAGAGGAAAACCTGAGCCAGGGCAGGCTCAGGGTGGACATCAGGAGGAATTTCTTAGCTGATAGGGTGATGAAGCATTGCCCAGGGAGGTTTGGAGTGCCCATCCCTGGAGGTGTCCCCGGAACACCTGGAGGTGGCACTCAGAGCTCGGGGCTGGGGAAAAGGTGGGCATTGGGCACAGCTTGGGCTCAATGACCTCGGAGACATTTTCCGAGCTCAGAGATCCTGGGATTATGCTCGTGCATCTCTTTCTCAGAGTGTTCCAGACCAGAATCACTTTGTGGGAGGGAGGGTAGACACCTGAAACCACTGGGATGGAGAACAGCCCCAAAACAGGCTTGTTCTCACTCTCATGACTCAACCAAGAGAATTCAAAATGACTTTTCTGAGGGAATATCACCATTAAATATCAAGTCCCATTATTCTCCTCCCAGCAATGCCCTGCCCAGCAGGCTGCCCAACGCAGGAGAGGGAGAGAACCCTGCCAGGGCAAGAAATCAAGTTTGTTTCTCTAATTTGGGTCTCTCTAGCATTTTCTCTCTCTCTTCCTGACAATAAAATACGCTGCACATCAATCCATTTCCAGGGAAAACTGCCTAATGGAGGCTAGAGAGACCAAATGAAAACAAACAGGGAAATGGAAACTAAACTTTTCAGCACTAAAGAAACTGCCTCTCACTGCAGCAGAGCTTCACATATCATCATTATGCCAAATGCTCTTGGATCCGAGTTATGGGGTGAGATTCAACCACTCCAGCAGTTTATTTAGTTCTATAACAAGCAAAGAAAAATCATCCCTCCTGCAACACACCTTGATTTAATTGTACTAATGCCATCTGTTATGCTCAGCTATGAAAAATCCAACTCTCATTTAAGATTTTATATTTCCAACGTGCTGAGCAAACATTAAATAATTCGTATAATACCGTGCAAAGTAGCTATTTATGAAACATTATTATGCACTCTTCTTAAGTTCACACCTTTCATTTCTGAGACTGGGTTTTAATCAGGTCTGTCTCTTTTTTTTTTACTGCTGAGAATACTTCAAATGAAATTTCCAAGAGATATGCTACCTATTTCTGTGTTAACAAGAGCTGAAATCTTCCTGAGGTACCTCCACGTAAGATATCATTTTGTTATGTCTGGGCTGATTCTCATTTGCATTTTTTATCGCTCTCATCATCAGAAATTAATTCTGCTCTGAAAGCAGTTCTTCCTGACTAGCAGCCGTGGTGCAGAACCACCATTCTGTGCCTGGAGAGCTCAGATCCTAAAGGATCCCTCCCTTCTGCTGTCCCGGATTGCCAGCAGCCAGCTGAGCGTGGCCGTGTGGCAGTGCCACGTGTCACTGGGGCTGGGGGCACCGAGAGCTGCCACGATCCAGGGGTGGTGCCAGATGGGCCCAAACCCAGCCCCGGTGAGCCACAGCCCTGCCAGCCCTGCACGGGGATGGTCCCAGCACGGGTTCCTCACACCACAGCCCTTTGGGGTCAGCTGGCCCAGGGACCCCAACAGCACAGCCCCTTTGGGGTCAGCTGGCCCAGGGACCCCAACACCACAGCCCCCTTGGGGTCAGCTGGCCCAGGGACCCAACAGCACAGCCCCTTTGGGGTCAGCTGGCATAGGGACCCCAGCACAGCCCCTTTGGGGTCAGCTGGCCCAGGGACCCAACAGCACAGCCCCTTTGGGGTCAGCTGGCATAGGGACCCCAGCACAGCCCCCGTGGGGTCAGCTGGCCCAGGGACCCCAACACGGCCTGGCTGCCTTGGGGATGGGGTCACCTGTGGGCAGGGAAGGGGACATGGAGCCAGCAGGGAAAGGGACACGGAGCCAGCAGGAAAAGGGACATGGAGCCAGCAGGAAAGGGGACATGGAGCCAGCAGGGAACAGGACATGGAGCCAGCAGGGAAAGGGACACAGAGCCAGCAGGGAAAGGGACATGGAGCCAGCAGGGAAAGGGACACGGAGCCAGCAGGGAAAGGGACATGGAGCCAGCAGGGAAAGGGACAGGGAGCCAGCAAGGAAAGGGACACAGAGCCAGCAGGGAACAGGACACGGAGCCAGCAGGGAACAGGGCATGGAGCCAGCAGGGAAAGGGACACGGAGCCAGCAGGGAACAGGACATGGAGCCAGCAGGGAACGGGACATGGAGCCAGCAGGGAAGGGGACACAGAACCAGCAGGGAGCACTCCAAGGTGGTCCATGAGCGATGGGTCAGTGTCTTCAGCTGGACAAGGGGAATGAAAAAACTCTTCCCTGTGGGGGTGGTGAGGCCCTGCCCTGTGGCTGCCCCATCCCTGGAGGTGCCCAAGGCCAGGCTGGACAGGGCTTGGAGCAGCCTGAGACAGTGGAAGGTGTCCCTGCCCATGGTGGGGTGGAAGGAGCTGATTTTCGAGGTCCCTTCCAGCCCAAGGCAGTCAGGGATCCTGTGGTTCGTGGCAGGGCTGTGCCGTGTGCGGCTGCCAAAGCTCCGTGGAGCACACGTGGTGTGAGACCCACCCTGCCCTGGTCCCACCACACTCCAGCCCCCTTGAGGAGGGGCAGGCCACACTCCTGGCATCAAACTCTGTGATGCAGAGAGCAAGAAAGCCAAGAATCACTCAGCAGCGTGAGATGAAATGTCTCCAAGCATCCCCAGTCCCAGCATCCTTCTGACTGTCACTGAGTCCCAGTGACTTTAACAGGGCTGCAGCAAGGGATCATTTGCACCCAAAATAATCTGCTTAGTTTCATTTCATCTAACAGCTGCCTGCTGTTTTGTAATGAATGTTTTATAAATTTAAGACACCCAAGGGCAAACATAAATGTTTAAATAAATAGAAAAATGTGAGTAGCAGAACATAGAAGGACTCTTTCCTTTTTTGGAGGCACAACCTAAATGTGAAATATTCTTTTAAAAGTGGAGGTGTTCCCCAGAGGAATTCTTCTAAACGTGGCCTGCCGTTTTTATCAGAGGATTAATTTGGAAGGAGTACACAACACTAAAGAGCTGTGCACCTGTTTTAAAAGTCCTGCATCCATTAATGCACACTGGTACTCACTGGATTACAGGTAAATTGAATAGTTCCACTAGGTAGAAATGATATTTCAGTGGGAGCAGCAACACATAAAAATATCCTTTTCCTTTCTGAAATAAATTGAAGCATGATACCCAGAATGAATGGCTCCATGATCATAATTGCTCAGTATCTTTCAATCACAAGGAAAATGTAATAGGAAAAACACATTTACTGGTGTTGGGATGGTCTCTGAAGACAAATCCCATTGCTGGATGCAATCACCCAGACCAGTTATTGGAGGGGGCAGAGGGGAGAAGCCAAGTATTTCCCAAAGATTTCCGGATTTGCACCATCAAAACCTCTCACTCTTCACTTCCAACATTGCCCAGAGATGGGTAAAACCCAGACAAAACTAATTTTCTGGTCATTGTGGCAGAGAAAACATAACAGAAGGCACTGGAATGTTCTTAAATGGAGTATTTGATATGCAGGACTGGGAATTTTTAAAAGCTTTCTCTGTTCTGGTGTGTCCAGCTGATTTCTGTCAGGTTTTTAGGGCAGCAGAAGTCCAGTGTTTCCTGTGGCAGGGGCTGGGATCCTCCTGGGGCTGCGTGTGGAGAAGGGAACAGCCAGGGAGCTGTGGGGGCAGAGCTGGGAGCTCTGGTCCTGCCCTGCTGCTGTGAGCAGAGATCTGACCTGGCCCATGGGAGATCCTCACTGCCACCTTCCAGCAGAGCCCTGGCCAATGTTCCCAGCTGCCTGTGCCTTCCCAGACCCAATTCAGGCCATTTCGAGCTTTGAGCTCCCCATCAGGGAGGGCACAGCTTTCCCTAATTTCCTCTCCTTCATGGAAAACCATTGCAGAGAGGGAGACGATTCACGACAAATAAGTGGAGAGCGTTGGATCAGAATTTCAGGGCCACACCTGTGGCTTCTCCCTCACCTGCAGAGCCTTGCAGAGCTCACCTGAGCATCCCAGCGTGCTCCCTCCATGAACAGCCCATGGACATAGGCCCCCTCACGAGGAGCGCTGGCAAAATCCTCTCTGCTCTTCTTCGTCACGTCGCACTGCAGTGTCATCTTGTCCAGGGGCCACTTGTTTTTCCTGGCCGTGGTCTGCATGACGGCCGTCAGGAGGGCCTGGGGGTTGAAGAACCCTCCGAGCCACAGCGTGGAGGGCAGGGAGAAGTCCCTGGTCCAGGCTTCCAGCTCGCTGATGCGAGCCAGCAGGTCAGCAAACCACGAGCCCAGGCTGGCAGTGGAGGGGTAAGACCTCCGCACCCAGGACTCGGGCACCGTGCCCAGGAAGAGGCAGCTCTGCAAGGTCTCCATGTCGCTGGTCATGGTCAGTTCCCCCTGGTGAGAGAGGGCACAGTCAGCACTGAGCACTGCCCAGGGCACGGGGAAGGGCACAGAGTCCCACGCAGACACCGCTGGACACGGACTGTGGGTGACTCCATGAGTTTGGGCTTTTCCTGCACACTTTCTATTGCATATTCCTGCACCCTGCTGTAAAAATGCTGCTGGGAGGAAAAGCTGTGTTTAGTGACAGCAGCAGGGGTGCCCCTCGGTTGTCCCACTGTTATTTCTGGTTTTTCTCATGAACTGGCAGATCTTTAGGGGTGTAAAGTTGTTCTCACTCACTGCCAGGGCAGGATACTGGAGTTTCTGATTATATATTCCAAAACTGTCCAAATATTTGCTATATTGAGTCCTATCCCCCTCCTCTCCTCCACTTCCCCTCACTCCTCCCTTCATTTGCTGCTTTGCAGCGCAAGATTTTCTTTTCGACTTCACGTGTTGTCTGCAAATGTAATCACAGCTCCTTCCACAGCAGGGAAGGAGCACAACAAAGTAAGATATGATTCAGCCAAATGAGATAAGGAGAGAGGTTTGACTTTTCCTTTGTGAAGCAATTAATTAGTTTCAAAGCTTTTAGAAACCTGTATCAGTTCTGCCAGAAGAGCTCAATTCCAGGACATTCCACTGAAAAACAACATGAGGATGGCTGAAACAACTGGGGCAGGTTGTCCACAGAGGCTGTGGAGTCTCCATCCTTGGAAATGTTCAGAACCCACCAGGGCATGGTCCAGAACAACCTGCTCTGCCTAACCCTGCTCAGGATGGGGCTGGAGCAGACATTTCCTGACCAGCTCCTCTGTGATTCTGCCTCACTCAAGCCAAGCAGGACACAAAGAGAAACCCTCCAAACGCCAGCTCAGCTTCCCTGGTATGGAACGGTCTCCACAGCCCAAACCTCTGCAGCTCTGTGCTCAGCTGGAGGGGTACAGCACCCCTAGAACTTTGGAGACCCACAGATAATGGCCATCACTGCTCCCCGTTATAAGCACTTCCTTTTGTCCCCTTTTCGCTTTGCCAAAATTTATCTCATTTACAATTTCTCTTTGCCTCGGGCTAAGTGTTTTTGGAAAGATTAACTGAAATCAGTTGAGCCATCGCTGAGAACGAGGGGGAGGGAATTGGGTCAGTCTATTCACATTAAAAGACCCCAACTGTTCTTTCACAGGACCTCAGTGCCTCCAGCCATGAGGTCAGCAGAGGTGCCCTTTGCTGGGGCCACAAAAATCTGTGAAGCTTTAGCAAAAGTTGAAATCTTCTTAAAGCAGCCCCCGCAGTTGTTTAGCAATGCTTGTCAGAGCCCAGGAGTTCAAGATCTCTGCAGCTTGTTCATGCTGACCATGCCCTGTGGGACACACTGACAGCTGAAAAAAACCTTTAATATCACCAAATCCAGCCATATAATTGTGGCTTGGACAAGGGGTGGCAATTAGATTTACTGTGGGGAAGAATGTGCTGTTTAATATCGGTAGGGGAACCAGGGGATGCAGAGTGTGCAAATGAGCCACAAACAAAATTAAGCACAGGAATCTGTAACACGGGCTGCAAAGCTCTCCCCAAACCCTGCCACGCCTCATGGCAGGAAAGGAGATGGGCTCTGCTCCCCACAAACAAAATTAACCACAGGAATCTGTAACTCAGGGTGTAAAGCTCTCCCCAAACCCTGCCACTCCTCATGGCAGGGAAGGAGAGGGGCTCTGCAGAAAAGGCTCCTCAGAGGCTGCAGCAGCCTCAGCTGGGATGCAGAGACATCCTGGAGAGCAGATTTCTGGTGGATGGAGAAAATCCTGAGTACAAAGGGTTTAAGATGGGTTCCGAAGCTACAGCAGCAAATAAGGTGAAAAGAAAAGCTGGAAGAAGGAGCACTTGCAGTTGACACTAAAATATGAAATCTCCTGAAATCTCCATCATGATCTCCATCCTCAGGAGAAACTGGACACAAAGGAACCATCAATGGGCTGGGCTGGGCATGGCAGGACCATGCAGAAGAACAAGCAGCCCTGCTCTGGCCACAGCAGGACACTGGAACAGGAGGAATTTGTGCTCCTGGAAGTGTTTTGACGTGGGTAAGAACATGGCAGAATGTGTGCAAGCAAATTGATTTAAAGACAGCCCCCTCTCTATCATATATCATGTCTAGTTTTACTTTCAGGAAACAAATGAATTAGCAAATGTAATTCTCAGCAAGGCTTGAGAAAGCAATTTTTAAAGCCTGCGCACTCAAGCATGCTTTGAGTCTCCTGTGAGGGTTCAAAGCATCTACAGCAGCAATCTCATAGAGTTGTCCAAACACAATTATGCATAAATTTGCATTTCAGATGCTGAATACTAAAGTGCATCAGAAATTATTCGATTTTTAATTTTTTTCCCAAACGCTGGGTGTAATTTTCATTTAAAGACACCCTTGGAGGAAATCCTAATCAGCCTGCAGCCATTCCCTCAAGATGAGCACACTACAGGCACAAACTGTTTCCTCAGTTCAGGTTATTTTCACTTGATACCCAGCTTGCCGATCAAAATTTGGTCTTTGTTATTTTACAATATATATTATCCTCATTTTGGAGGTTCATCCTTCATTCAAATTGCAAACCAGAGGATCTGCTTGCAAAAAATGAGGCTGGTACAACATTAACATGCAAGTGCTTCAGCCCAGCCTCTGGTTCCACCCAAGCCAGCCAGAACAAAGGGCTTTGAAATGCAACATGCCAGTTATTTCTGATGGCTACCAGTCTATTGCAATTTCTCTTCCTCCTAATGGGATGTCTCCTATTTTTGGACCAAACAATCACTTTCTGCTACCATGACATGATGAATTATTCAAAAATTCAAATTAGGCGTGACATTTCTAAATCTCCTTCTTTTGGCAGATCCTTCAGTCAGTTAAAAACAATAAGCCTTGTTTTCTCTGGGCTTTATTTATTCTCTGCTGAGCTCTGTGGGGCCTGGCTTGTAAACTCTCCTCCTCTGAGTGCTGTCAGTGCAGGCCCCCAGCCCCAGAGATGAACAAGCCTTAGAGCTCTTTAATTGTCAGGAAGGGCAATTAAAGCAGGATTTCCTCAGGGTAAGGCCCAGAGTCAAGTGAGGGCAGCATCAGAAGAGCCATCAGCCCCCTCTGGCTGCTCTGTGTCCCCCAGGTGTGGGAGGGATGCTGAGCAGGGTTTTGGGTCATGCACTTTTTGGGTCTAATTCAGCTCTGCAGGGACCCACAGGTGACCTTTGGCTGCAGACACAAGAGCTGGGCTCAAGTTGTGCCAGGGAAACCTGGTTTGAATCTCAGGAGAGCTTTCTTCAGGCAGTGGGCTGTAAAGCCCTGGGACAGGCGGTGCTGCAGTCACCAACACAGGCTGGCAGAATATTCCGAGCTGGAAGGGGCCCTCAAGGATCAGCGAGTCCAGCTCTGAAGTAAATGGCCAGTCCAGGGGTTGAACACACAGCCTTGGTGGGGTCAGCACCAGCTGAGCCCAAGTACCCTGGAAGTGGACAAAAAACCATCTGGATGTGGCACCTGAGGCCGTGGTCCAGGGGTGAGCACGGTGGTGCTGCCAGGGTGGTGGCTGGACTTGGGGATCACAAAGGGCTTCTCCAGCCTTAAGGACTCCATGGTTCCTGGGATTGCCCACTGATGGCCTCTCACAGCCTGCAGGTGTGCCTCTTGGCAAACACCAGGTTTGCCAAACACCAGAAATGCCAAACGCTGCTCTGCTCTGCAGTTCTCCTCCAGTCCCAGCCCCAGGATGTCTCTGCATCCCAGCTGAGGCTGCTGCAGCCTCTGAGGAGCCTTTTCTGCAGAGCCCATCTCCTTCCCTGCCATGAGGTGGCAGGGTGTGGGGAGAGCTTTGCAGCCCGTGTTACAGATTCCTGTGGTTAATTCTGTTTGTGGCTCATTTGCACACTCTGCATCCCCTGGTTCCCCTATTGATATTAAACAGCACATTCTTCCCCACATTAAATCTAATTGCCACCCCTTGTCCAAGCACAATTATATCTTGTTTGGGGCTCTGGGATTGATACATTAAATCACTTCTGTTTACCTGTCTCAGGAAATGGAATTTTCAATTCCAGCTAGAAAATAAGAGAAATCTGTTTATGATAATTGACTACATAAATATCAGCTTCTTTCCAAACGGGCTGTACACCCTGACCCACCACCTGTGTTGGGGATATCTCTGCTTCAACAAGCCCCAGCAGCAAATGCAGGGCACACACATCTGCAGCTGCCATTTGGGAGCAGCTTGGTGCCCAAAGCCCAAGCCAAGCCTGCCCCTCCTCGTGCAGGGAGGGCAGCTGGAGGTTTCTTCTCCAAGCTGCCCCTGGGAGAGGTCTGAGATGTGATTCCATCTCAGGGCAGGCCCTCCTTGCTCACGCCCAGCTCCTCCTGTGACCGAGCTGGGGCCAAGCCCAGACCCTCCAGCCACGCTGTGCAGACCATGGGTGGGAGCTCAGCATCCCCATGGAAAGGGATCAGGACACGATGGAGCAGGGAATGCCCACTGTCTGACAGGCAGGAGATCCCATCCAGGGCCCGGCTGGGGCATGAGGGTGAGGCAGGGCAGGCAGCAGGGCAGTGCTGAGGCTTTGTTCTGCCAGCTCCAGGCTGCATTGCTGTGCTGCACGTGTGCCTTCCCAAGGGATGGAGGGGTCCCTGGGGGGCACAGGGTGCAGGGGCAGTGCTGTTAAAGGGCAGCTCCTCACTCCCTGGCAGTGCAGCCCCATCCCTGCTGGCTCATCCTAAGGGGCACTCACTCAGAGCCTTTTCTGGTTTGTCCCACTGAGTGCCTGGGGGGATGCAGGAGGTGACTTCTCCTACCAGGGCATGCAGCATCAGTCACAGCCCTCCCTCACACCCCACTGAACCAGAAATCTGCACCTCAGCTGGTGTGGCAAAGGCAGCACCAGGGGGACACAGACACCCCTGTCCCGGTTCCACATCAGGGCGGGGATCAGCTGCAGTGGAGCCCCAAGCACGTGGCTCACACCCAGCTGTATCTCCTCCAAAACTCTTCTGATTTAAGCCTTTTTCTTTTACAGTTCTGGACATTTTGTGCCTTCACACAAAACCAATCTTTGATTCCAGCTCAGCCTGTGCCGCTGAGATATTTTGTTCCAAGCTCCTCCTGGACATCTGATGCAAAGGTGTGATTTTTGGCTCACCTTTAAGTAGGCCATGTGTCAATTTGTGAGTGACCTGCTGTAGCTGTGGCACAATCTGGGGTGGCCAGAAGTGCTCATCCTGTTCCCAAAAGCCAAGCACTGCTGTGTGTGCCTGCAGACACTGTGCCACTGCAAATCCACCTGGGAGCCCTGTGGGGCCAGGATGGCTTTGCAGCAAATTCTTCTCTGTGACCCTTTATATTCCCTGAGCAGCATCCTGCAGGATTTTCCAGCTCTCCTACTGATGCCTTAGGATTTCAGCTTTTCTATTTTTCAGGTCCTGCAGTGCATTAGTGCAGAGCTCTGAGCTCCATATAAAGTGTGGCTAACTGCCTCCACACTTTGGGCAGACAGAGCAATCCCTCTGGGCCTGAGATCCAAGGACACTCCACAGACCCTGAAAAGTACAAAGAAAAGTGAATTGTGGGGAGCAAACTGGGGGAATGTGACTTCATTACCTGAGGCTGTAATTGGAGAATTAACCCCTGATATGCAAATATACCAAACTTTTATCTGTGTAAAAAACTGGTGACCATTGTGATGCTTAAGTTTGAGCTTTCACATTTCCCAGCTCTGCACTGCACTGGGAAATGACTCTGAGCTGCACACAAAGTGCCAGCAGCTCTCCTCACAGCTCAGGCACACACAACAATCCTTTGCCAGCCCCAGAACCAAGGACACCGCTGCAGCTCCAGCCCCAAAAAGTGCAGCCAGCAGGGAATGGAGGAGAGCAGCCTGGGAGGGTGGGACTGCAGCACCTGGAGCTGGAACTGGGCACTGAACCCCGATGTGGGAATGGCCCAGAACTCATCAAAGTGTGACAACTCCTGACTCTGAGTCCACCTTGGCCCATCTTGGGTGCAGCCCTGGCTGGGCTCTTGTGCTGCCCAAGGTGTGTCCTTTGAGGCCTTTTGATAAATCCCTGCTTTATTCTTTCCCTCTGTTCCAGGCAGCCTCTTTAGGCGTCAATCCTCCATCCTGGGCTCAGCCTCTGCGAGGCTCTGCACTGCCCAAGGTGTTCCTATTGGAGGCCTTTAATAAATACCCACTTTATTCCCTTTTCTGTGTGCCAGGGAGCCTCTGAGCCGTCGGTACCTTGAGGCCCAGCTCCAGCTCGGCCAGCGAGCGCCGCAGCTCGGCCGTCAGGGCGTTCATGCGCTCGCACTCCTGCAGGGCCACCACGGCGTAGGGAGTCCTCTCCTCCACCCTGGCCAGCAGCTCTGCCATGTTGAACTCGTCTGTGAGCTTCTCCAACATCTCTTCCAGAAGGGCTTGCACCTGTGCCAGAGGGAGGGGAGAGGGGGATGCTGCTCACTGGTCCCCAGGCTCGCGGCTGCCTGAGCTGGGAGAACTCCCCCTGCCCTGTCGGTGTCTCCAAAACCATCCCCGTCAGCCCTGGGCACCTTTCAAAGGGCTTGCCCCATCCTATTAATATCCAAATGCTGACAGAAAATAATGTCAGATGAGCAGCTTGCAAAGTGATGGTTTTCAAATGTCCCTGTGACATGTGGCAGCTTCTTCTCTTCTCGGCTCTCTTATTTCTCCTGAGGTCGCACTCACAAGGAGATGGATGGGGCTGGGGCCTCAGCTGAGCCTCAGGACAACACAGCTTATGAGCTGGTTTTCTCTGGTGTATTGATGGAGAGAGGTGATTATATGAAATTGAATTTGAAGCTGAATTTGGCATTCCGGACTAATGGAGCCACGGAAGAAAAGCATAACAAAATAAAATTATTTTCTGCTCGCCACCACAGCTTCTTCAGAGCTCTAAATACTAAACTCCAATGCTAGAGGACCTTTGTAATGACTAAAACAATTAAATAAACTCCTTTCTGACAATGAGGCATGAAGCCCTGCTGTCCATGGGATCAGCTGCATTTCCCAGGTTCGCTGTGGAAGCTCTCACTCAAAGCTTTGCTTTACTGCTGAGCTGGAACCTGAGCAAGGCTGCTCCTTGCTGGGACCTTTTGGGCACACATAACACAGCTAAAACTCTATGATCCCAAGTGCCAAACCTGGCATGAAGGGCCAGTGCCAGGTAGGGCAGGGTAATTTTACAGCCAGGGCCACCAATATTCATATTGCAGGAAGGAAAGGAGCAGCACCAAATGGAAAGGACAGCTTGGGCAATGGCAGAGATCACTGCAGGAAGGAAAGGAGCCCTGGGAGCGTGTCCCCAGGCACAAGGCAGGGCACTCAGGTCACACTCTGACTGCTCTCAGGCAGATTTTATTCCCAGACAGAGCCATGAGCACTTCTGTGCTCCCCTGAGAGTTTTCTTGACTGTCACCAGGAGTTTGCAGGGTGGCCACGACCTCTGACACCACTGCTGGGGCACTCCCTGATCATTTTGCATCTCTGGGCTGAGGAGTTTATTTGTGTTTCTCCCACAAGAGGAGTGGGAAGGGAGAAGAGGAACTCACATTTTCTATCTCTGAACATCTTGTTTGGCTTTGCTACCCCTGGATTGTTCTTATCACCTCAAATTCGAGTATGAACTGAAAAATGACCACACTGGGCACTTCTAGGAGCCCCTTAGGGGAAGGCAGTGAGTTCCCCAGCTTCACACCAAGCCAGAGGAAACTCCTGTGAAACCACAGCTTTGTGTGAGCTGCAATTAGCCATTCATTAAATTGCAAATCTTCAAAGACGGAGCTGGCACCTTAAGACTGCAGGAGCAAAAACCTGAGCATGTGTTGGCTGATTCCAGATCTTGTCAGGGATGTTTGGGCAGTGTTTTAATGAGCTGAGAGATTCCACAGGGAGGGCTGAGATCAGCCCAGGACACAAAGGAGCAGCAGAGGAGTTCAGCTGGAAATAAGGAATTACAAGGCCCTGGGGAGCTGGTGGGACTCGGTGGCAGCAGCAGGAGGAGGTCTGAGCTCTGGGTGGCACGCTGTGGGTGGCAGGCAATGTGCCAGGGGCCCATTGCTATGCCAGTCACAGGGACTGCTGCTCAGGGAAGGTTTGTGCAACACCTTCAGAGGATAAGGAAGGCTCTGCAGTGCACAGGGTAATTAAGAGGCACTGTCCTGTTACTGCCAGCACTCAATTACATCCCACCAGGGTGATGTTCTGCAGAAAACCAGGCTTTAGGCAGGCAAAGGCAGAACACAGAACCATGGACAAGCCTGATGGATGAGACAGGCATCAAACCCCAGAGGCTGCCCCTGAGCGCTCTCACCATCTCCTCCTGGGTGCCCACTGCCCCTGAGCACTCTCACATCTCCTCCTCAGCACTCTCATCATCTCTTCCTGAGTCTCCTTTGTCTCTAAGCACTCTCACCATCTCCTCCTGGGTGCCCACTGCCCCTGAGCACTCTCACCATCCCCTCCTGGGTGCCCACTCCTTTTCTGCACTCTCACCATCTCCCCTGAGCACTCTCACCACCTCCTCCTGGGTGCTCATTCCCCCTAAACACTCTCACCATCTCCTCCTGAGTCTCCTTTGTCTCTGAGCACTCTCACCATCTCCTCCTGGGTCCCCACTCCCCCTGAGCACTCCCACCATCTCCTCCTGGGTGTCCATTCCCCCTGAGCACTCCCACCATCTCCTCCTGGGTTTCCATCCCCCTGAGCACTCTCACCATCTCCTCCTGGGTCCCCACTTCCCCTGAGCACTCTCACCATCTCCTCCTGGGTACCCACTCCCCCTGAGCACTCTCACCATCTCCTCCTGGGTACCCACTCCCCCTGAGCACTCTCACCATCTCCTCCTGGGTACCCACTCCCCCTGAGCACTGTCACCATCTCCTCCTGGGTCTCCTTTCCCTCTGAGCACTCTCACCATCTCCTCCTGGGTCTCCTTTCCCTCTGAGCACTCTTACCACCTCCTCCTGGGTGCCCACTGCCCCTGAGCACTCTCACCATCTCCTCCTGGGCGCCCACAGCCCCCGGGCCCGTGCTGCCGTGGCGGGGCTGCAGCTCCAGCACGGTGCGCAGGAGCCGCTCCGAGCGCTGCGTCAGGAACCCGATCTCGGCGTTGGGGTGCAGCCCGTACAGGTGGGGTGACTCTGCAGGCAGGGCATCGTCTATGTACTGCACAGAGACATTCAGAGCCTGTTAGGAACTGCCCAGGGCACTTTGCCTGGGAGCTTCAGTGCTGGAATCATCCCCCCAAGAGGTCAGCCCGGGCTGACCCAGCTCTGCCTGTGGCTGAAACACCGGGAAGTGATGGAGGAAGGAGAGTACCAATGTTTACAGAGCTGCTTCTGCTCCTGCTGGGAAAATTCTGTAATTGCTGGGATTCAGCTTGGCTCCGTGTCTCAGGCTGGACCTTCTCTAGCAATTATCTGCTGTGCATTTCAGCATCAGCATCCTGAAATCTCTTGTGGGAATTGAGCTTCCAGCAGTTAAGTTTTATGAACAAAACCAGCCTGATGTGCCTCTCTGCTAACTGCATTTGTGTACAAAGAGCAGATGAGATCAGTAAGTAGATCAACAAGACCCTTCAGTGATTCGCATCAAAACTGATGATAAAAAGAGCTTGAAAGGGCCATTTTAGCAAACAGTATGTGGATGTAATTTTCCAGGAGCCCCACTTAAGTCTCGAGCACCAATACAGTTGCTCTATTCATGCATGAACAGAATGAGCCCATGATGAAGTAGCAAATTACCATTAGACTTGGTTCATCCAGGGGAATGCTGAAACATCCACAGGAACACAACATAATGGCAAATAAGAGGAACAGTGCAGGAACACTGCAGCCCTGTTCCTGCCTCCTAAGGCAGATTATGGGGCAGTTAGGGAAGACATTCCATTTACATGTATAAATAATGCCAGCAAACAAAGAGCTTACCTGGTGATAGCCATTATAATCCATTTTCCCAGGGAGGGGAAACCCAGGAGCAAGGCAGAGCTCTCCCTCCAGCATTTCTGGCTTAATAAACTCTTCCAGGTAGGTTTTGCAGAGCCGCCTGTCCCAGTCATCCGTGATGTGACCTCCGTACATGATCTCACCCACAAGGTAGCGCAGGTCATCGTAGGGGACCTGGGTGGGGAGCAGGGTGGGCTGAACCTCAGCAAACAAACATCAGGCAGGAGTTAAATCCCTGCCAGGAAAGCTGGGGCACAGCACAGTGCAGCTCCCCACTGAGCGAGTGGCACTGAGGTCTCCCAAATCCTCCCAAAAGCGCCCCAAACTTTGAAACCCAAAGACGCCAAGGAAATGGTGTTTCAGGACAGCTTCAGGCCACCCTGGTGGTCCAAAGCCCCCAGACAGCCCCATTGTGGTGCCCCACCTTGGAGCTGGCCTGCAGGTAGTTGTGGAGCACGCTGACAGAGATGGTGAGGTCCCCGGTGCTGAAGGGGTACGGGCGGTTCCAGCCCTGGGCGCCGAACTTGCGCCGCTCCGCCACCACCGCGTGGAAATAGCACAGGGCAAAGAGGATGCTCCTGAACTCCTTCTCCTGGCTGCACATCTCCAGGGTGTCCTGCAATGCAGCACAGCTGTCCTCAGCCTCAGCGACGCCCAGGGAACCCAAACATGCCAGGCTTTGGACAGGGCGAGTCACAGAGCCAGAGGCCAAAGCTCAGAAGCACCCTGAACCATCACCTTCAACCTCCGACCAAATACCCCCATCCACAACTAATTGTGAACCCTATTTTTTGAACAATTACAGCGATGTGTCTCCACCACTTCCCTGGGCAGCCTATTCCAGAGCTTAACCAACCTTCCAGTACAGAAATTTTTCCTAACATCCAACCTGAACCTCCCCTGCTGACACTTGTTACCTGGGACAAGAGGCCCGTCAAATTGTCCTCCAGTTCAGTTTTGAGTCATGCACACACGTATTTCAAAGTCAGTGGCTTTGCACTGCAGATTTATTGGCAAACTCTAGCAAATATTTTCTGACTTATCATTGACTGTTCCCAGCTCCGAGTGGCTTTGCACAGGAACACACACAGGGAGGGAAGGACACGTGCACCCACTCAGCGCCCCATCACCTGCATGTGCTCAACATCCCTCACCAGAAAGATGAGGAGGGAGCCACAGAATCACAGAATTCTCTGTTGGAAGGGACCTTAAAGTCCGTGTTTTTCCAGCCCCTCTGCCATGGGCAGGGACACTTTCCAGTATCCCAGGTTGCTCCAAGCCCCATCCAAAGTTTATCATAAAAAATGCCACGTTAGACCTTTAATCCTCTGAGAGCCTGACAGAGCTCAGGGTCTGTGCAGAAAAGGGGGAATCCATTACTCTATTACTGGTGCAATACATTGACCAAGTGCACGTGACAATCAAGAACATCCCAAAAGCTGTTTTTCCCTGGGTTCGGCAGCACTCTAAGCTCCCTTTATCAGCATTGTGATGAAGAACTGCTTCAAATACTTGCAGAACACCTTTCTCATTTCAGGAGACATCCCCAGAACAACCCAGTTCATTCTCATTTGGCCTCTCTTCACTTGTCAATTCTTCTTCAGCTACAAAGCAGAACAATATCCCCTGCACAGAATAAAGGGTCTTCTTTGTAGCCTTCAGCTGAAAGCTAAATTTGAACATCTCTTCTGTATAAAGCAGGGAAATGAGGTGTAAAAGAGACCCCACCCACTCGCTTCAGGATTTCTGATAAGAGATGTTTCATAATCCTCCAGCAATTTAGAAAATGCTAATTACTATTGATTGAAATGAGCAGAGGCAGGATGAAAATGTTACTTGGGGTGAAGGCTCTCCCCTCCCTTGTTCTGCAGGACATTTTGTGGAGCTCAGGATGATGAATGGCATTAACCTTCCCTGAGCACTGGCATGAATCCTTGCATGGTGCCTCCCCCACACCTGCTCAGCAATGTTCCCTCCTGCACTTGGGATTCTCTCCACACCAACATCCTGGGGTTGCTGTGAGTTGCCCCATGACCCAGGGTCCACAACTTCTTGGAGCTGCTGTCTCATCCCAAATAACAAGAAACTTTATGGAGAGAATCACAGAATGGGTCCTTAAACCCACCCAGTGCCACCCCTGCCATGGCAGGGACACCTCCCACTGTCCCTGGCTGCTCCCAGCCCTGTCCAGCCTGGCCTTGGGCACTGCCAGGGATCCAGGGGCAGCCACAGCTGCTCTGGGCACCTGTGCCAGGGCCTCATCATCCTCATATCCTCCAATCCATGGTCACTTTTGGAATTCTATAAATACCAGATGTTGGAATAAAACTGGGTCTTTTTCTCCTTTGAACTTCCTTGGACCAGTGTGGTTGGAGAGGTGGTAATTCCACCCTCCAACCCACGCTCACCTTTGGAATTTATAAATACCAGATGCTGGAATCAAACTGGCTCTTTTTCTCCTTTGAACTTCCCAAACTTGTGTGCTCATTTTGTGGCCAGCAGTGACACCAGCCATGCTCCTACCTGGCTGAAGTTGTCCAGGGCCTTGTGCAGGTTGGCGTGCATGCCGGTGGGCGCCTCGCTGGTGACCTTGATGGCGTTCTGCAGGATGCCCTGGGGAATGATGTGGCTCTCGGGGCACGGCGCTGGCTCGGCGCTCAGGAACACGCGGAAATCCCGGTGGCTGCCCTGGCTGTGCTGCTCCAGCCTCTTCTCCAGGGAGCTCAGCCACTTGGCCACCAGGTGGATGTTCTGCCAGGGACAAAGGGACAAGGCTTGCTCGGTTTCCCCATCACACCCCCATGTTCTGAGCACAAAAATCCATCCCACTGATGGATGCCCCCTGGAAATTGGGTTTTAGCCCAGGGGTGTCTGTGTGCAGCTCCCAGCCCCAAAGAGCCAGGTGCATCAAGAACATTTACAATTCAAAATAATCAGTATAAATCAGCAGCAGAGCAGCAAGTCACAGCTGGGCTGGTTGGGCTCTCGGTGCTGGAATTCTCCTCATTTCAGCAATACCAGCTGAGGTTATTCCTGGGGAGAAAAATTATTTATTTTCTATATTTTTTATTTTAGCACTTTTTTGATTTTATTTATATTATTTTATATTTCTAAAAAAAAAACTTATTTATTTATTTTTATCTGTTATTCCTGGGGAACAGAGTTGTTATTCCTAGGGTATAAAGTTGTTGTTCCTGGGGAGCAGAGCTGTAATTCCTCCCCCCAGCCCCACTGAGCTCAGATAATAACATTTGTTAATTTTGATCAGAATTACAGTGAGGACCCTCTATAGCAGTTCCTGGGCAAACAAGTCAAGCAGGTGATTTCACAAAGTCCTTTAACAAAAAAGGATTTATTAATTCATAATAAATTTATTTATTTATTTATTTTCATCAATACCAGCTCTTTATCTTCCCCAAACCAGCACTGCTGCAGGTAAAAGGAAAGCTCCCACAGGCCACCAACCAGTTAAAACACAACTGACAGGGGTAAGGAAGCTAATGATGGAGTTTTAACTCCTCACCGTATCAAAAAGAGCAAATGATTGGTGAGCTGACAAAATAACTCATAAGACAAAGGCGTTTCAAGTGTTGAAAATAAAGCCTGAAAAGAGCTGCAGGAGGATGCCATCACTCTAAGAGCCTGGCAATGACACTGCAGCAGGAATCCAGTGGTGATAGATGCAAAGTAATGCACTCAGGAAAACAGCCCCAGCTACAGATACACACACTGATGGGTTCAAAATTAACTATTATCACTCAGGGAAGGGAGCTCAGAGCCCTCACAGTGATTTCCTGCAAATTACAGCTCAATGCTTAGCAGTGCAAGAGCAAAGGAACGGGGAATAAAGCTGCAAAGGGGATTTTGCCATTCCATAAATCCATGGTGGGCCTTCATCTTGTAAACTGCACCCAGCTTCCACTCCTCTTAAATCTTACAGGATTTAACTCCCACAGAAGGAGACTCTCCATCAGCAGGGACTCGGCCATTTGGAGAGAGCAGAGCCTGGGCTGGAGGGAGGGAGGGAGGGAGGGAGGGAGGGAGGGAGGGAGGGAGGGAGGGAAGGGTGAGCAGAGCAGGCTGCAAGGAAAGTGGAAGTGCATTTTCATGTGACACAGAACTAAACTGCCAATTTACTGCTTCAGGGTGTTTGGGGAGTTGAGAGAATCACGGAGTGGCGCTGAGCTGGAAGTCAGAGAGGAACAGAATTGTTAATGCTGGAAAAAAAAAAGCTTTAAAATCAGCAAATCCATCACCCCAGCAGCACCAGCACGCTCAGCATGAGCCCAGGTGCCACAGCCACACGGGTTTTGAACACTTCCAGGGATGGTGACCCCATCAATGCCCTGTTCCAACATCTCTGCCCCCTTCCCAAGGCTGTGGATGTCCTCTGCTGGCTTCTCAGGTGCCTCTTGTGAGGCTTCAGGTGAGCTGGGTAAGGACAGAGCCCAGCTGGGACTGGAAAAGAGGACGAACATTGCGGAAAGGAAAAGCTGAGGAGCTCCAGGCTGGGACAGAGTGGTGGCTGCTGGCACTGTTAGCACAATTTGAACCTGCTGCAGGGATGGTCAGCACTCAGAGAGGGATTGAAGGCTGTGAATCGAGAGAATTGCTGTTCAGGGAAGCCATGGACACTTTGCTGCCTCCAGCTCTGCTGCCCCAAATCGGATTGACGTGGCTGGGAGCAATATTTTTATTTAGAACTGCAGAAATTCAGTCTCCTCACCTGAAATGGTTTAGGGTTGTGCTCACATTGTGTGGATGAGAAGGAGTTTTGGGTGTGGGGGGAGATGCCTGGGCAAAGGGGCTGTTCTGGGGTTTTTCTCTCACAAACAAGGGCTGTGTGAGGAGCAGTAGGCAAAATGCAATTACACCCGAGGGCTGCTGCACCACTGCTGGCCTGATGCACTCAGGGTTTCAGAATTTCAGATCAGATCATCCCCAGGGCCCAGACAACCAATTCACTCTACAAACACAAGTCAAACAATCAGGTAGGAGTGCACTGAAACCTGCAACCAAAGTGGTGCCAACTCCACAGAGATTTAATAAAACTGGGAAAGAGCTCAACAAAATATCAAAAGAAAAATCGTGCATTAAGTATCAGTTTAATCATAGTCTGCATATCTGACCTTAAGTGTTTTCATCTCTAATTGGTAGTTTCTTCCCACATCTGCTTTTGTGGTGTTAGATGGCTCAAAAATAATTGCTTTTGCTTGTGTTGACATGACACGAGCGATCATTATTTGTGGGTATCACTGCCTGCTAACAGCCAACTTAGGGAATATTTCCAGTCCAGTGATAATTGAGTGCATTTATATCCTGTCCTTTTGTGATAGAAGAGATGAAAAACAGGAATAGAGGCAGCCAAACATGGGCTGGTACTAAGAATTCATAATTCAAATAAATCTATCTGCCTAGGCCAGACAGGGACACTGCAGAAGGGATTCACAGGTGGGAAAGAAACTTTGCAAATTCATTCTCAGCAGACAGGGAACAAAACCTGAAAGAACACATCTAATGAGAACACATGGGCATAGTAATTGAGAGATATGTCAGTTATCAGTTATTGAGAGATGTATCAGCTATCAGTGATTGAGAGATGTGTCAGTTATCAGTAATTGAGAGATGTGTCAATTATCAATAATGAGTCAGCGTGGGCAATGTGAAACAGTTCCCCTGCACACTGACCACCCACTGACCATCCCCTTCACACTGACCATTCACACTGACCATCCTCTCTGCACTGACCATCCACACTGACCACCCTCTGCACACTGACCACCCTCTGCACGCTGACCACCCCACTGCCCACCCACACGGCCCATCCTGGAGCCTCCTCTGGAGCCGTGCTCCAGGTGACCCTGCTGGAGCAGAGGGGTTGGGCCAGATGCTCTCCAGAGGTCCTTCCAAGCCCAGCCATCCTGGCATTCTGTGATTTATGACACACTGATGAATCTCACACAGTTGTGCTCCAGGAGCTCACTGTTATTTGATTTAATGCATGAACCTGACTCAGTGAAGCAGCAACCAAGGAAAATGGAAAGATGCTCAAGAATTAAATTAACTTGATCACAAAGAGAGGGAAGTGACATTTTGGCGAATGGGTAAAGACTACAATTAAACTGGGAATATCTAATGCCTGAACTCTTCCCTGCACCAGTGCATTCGAACAAACACTAACAAATTTCCCTGTGTCTTTGCTGTTAAGCTGATCAGCCCCATTTGGAGACTGTGATGGCCACTGGGTCAGCAAAAGGCTTCTGAGAGGGACAGAGCAGACACAGCTTGTGCTAACTCATAGCTGGGTGCAAAGCTCCTTCCTCCCTGCACAGAGCAAACCAGGAAACCCCTGCAGAGAAAGCAGATCCACGGACATCTGGGCATGGCAGGGCAGAGATCACAGAGTCTCTGGGGCTGGGGACACCTCTGGCATCCTCCAGCCCTCTGCTCAGAGCAGGGCCAGGCAGTGCAGTGGCCCAGGAACACACCCAGGTGCCTTCTGGATGTGCCCAACATCACAAACTCTACAGGCAACCCCATCCACTGTTCAGCCATTCACATGGAAAAAGATGGTATTTACATTTAAATGGAATTTCCTGAATTTCAGGTTGTCCCCACCAGCAGACAGCACTGGGAGAGTCTGGTCTTTCCTCCCCAGCATCCAGGGTGATGGAACCATCTCCTCTCCAGGCTGAGCAGTCCCAGCAGTGCACGGAGCATCTCCAGCTATGGGGCCCAGCTGTGCCTGCCCCCCAGAGCCTCGAGGAGCTGGCAGTGAGCTCTGCCTGCCCTCCCTGATGGAATGGTGCCCAAAGCCCTCCGAACCTCTGAACTGTGGCTAAGGAGACCCAGAGCCTGCTAGCAAATGGGTTTTTGTGGAGCTCAGAGGTCAAGCTCAGCTCTCCAGTGCCAATGACAGGAGCAGAACAGCTGCTGGGATTGAGCTGGGCTGTTCCTGCAGCCCTCAGGTAACAAAATCTCCTTTAAAGAGCTGCACTTTGGCCTCAGGGGCTCCTCTTCTGCAGCTGGACCATTTGTATTTGTAAAGAATAATTTTAGCTGTGGCCTTCACTCATCTGTCAGCACCCGTACAGCAAAGCTGAAGCCACCAGACAGGAACAACCCTGGTGCTGAAGGGGCAGGGAGCTGCTGGCCAGGCTCTGCCAGGGCCAGGGGGATTCTCTTCCCATGGAAATGAAGGATTGGGTGGCTCTCTGCTGTTCTCTCTCATAAAATGAGTCATTTATGAGAATCTCCATTTTCAGCATGAGCTGAGAAACTTTTCCCAGGGTGCTTTTGTCTTTATTTTGCCTCTTGTGGTGTCAGAAGGCAGCAGGACTGAGAGGAGGTGGCCCTGGGACAGCCCTTCCCAGCAAGGCAGTGATCCTGCTCCTGCCATCCAACAAAACCCTCCCAAACATAATTCCCTGACCTGGTAGTGCCCCAGGTACGTGGTTCTCACCATGCCTGGGCCCAGCCAAGCACTGGTGATGAGCCACACATGTAAAATGATGATCCCCCAGGTGTTTATGTGGGGAACGTGTGTGTGAGAAGCTCTGCTCCACGTGAGCCGAGCTGTTGGTCAGGGGATGGCCACAGACAGAAGCAAAGCCAACAGTTGCTTTTTGTCTGCTCAAAACCAAATGGGAAGCCTGGGTATAACTGTGCTGTGGGTGGGATACAGCCTTCAAATAATGAGCTTAATTAATCTGGGTAAAATTACCCTGAGATCTGCTCTGGCCTCTCTTTTATTATTAATGCAATGATCCACAAATCCTGTGGCACTTTAGTAAATTGAGTCATCTGTGTCATTGCAGATCTTGTACAAACACTCCCGGAGCTGTTTGTGAGGATGTGTCACCAAAACCTCGCAGGAAAGATCTTGCCAAATAAACCAAATGGCAAATTTGCTCCGATCCTGATGGCAGACCCTGTGTGACCCCTCCTCACTGCCTCCCACTGCCATGAGTTTGGTTTTGCCAGAGGTCAGATTTCCAGCCCTGAGGAGGTTCTTTGTCCAACCTTCTACACCCCAGTTTGTCCACAGGGTGTTTTCATGCCAAATCTGCTGACCCTGAAGGAGCTTTGCTGGACCAGGAGTTGTGTCAGTGCAGGGACACACCTTTGTCCCCTGAGGCTGCTCTCCCCCTTGCTCAGGAGCTGGGAGCACAGGGTGAGGGCAGGGACAGGCTCTGGAGCTGGGCAGCCTGGCCAGTCGGGGGGACAGGGAAATCCCTCTGGAACTGGAGCTGCCCAAAGCCCCAAAGCCGTGCCCAGAGAGCCAAGTGCCACCAAGGCACCCCCAGCTCCTTCTGAGGCCCTCTGTGCTGATTGCTCAGCAGCAAATTGGAAATTTGCTCAATTTTTTTTCCAATTTGAATTGGAAACAAAAGCAGAAAGAGCCCTGAGAGCTGTGTTGAGCCACCCCTGCCCACATGCCAAGCAAAGCACAGCACAGAACTGGAATATTTGCACGTGTGAAGTGTTACCAGCTCTGTGAGGCAACCCCAGATGTCTGAGTGACCCTGGGCAGTGCTGGCACCTGCAGTCCTGTCCCCAGGGCCACTGGGGCTCTGCTGAGCCTGCCCCACACGCAGAGCACCCTGGCCTAACCCAGCTGCATCGAGCTCCTCTCCAAGCCCAGGGGAACCTGCCCTGGGTCACACCTGGAGAACCTGCCAGCCCAACCACCAACACTGATCTGCTCCAGCAATCTGATTTCTGCAGCTCTCCTCATTTCACCACAGAATCATAAAACCATGGAATGGTTTGGGTTGGAAGGGACCTTAAATATCATCCCATCCCACCCCTGCCATGGCAGGGACACGTCCCACTGCCCCAGCTGCTCCCAACCCTGTCCAGCCTGGCCTGGGCACTGCCAGGGATCCAGGGTGGGCACCCTGTGCCAGGGCCTGCCCACCCTGCCAGCCATGATTTCTTCTGATTTAGCCTTCAGTGTCTGCCTAACCTCTCACTGATTGCTCTGACCACCAGAGAAGATGGGAATGGATGTAATAAAAACCCTCCAGGCCCCCAGTGCTTGTCTGTTAGCTCTGAAACAGCACATGGAGCCTGGCACTGCTGACAGATCCCTTACAGCAGCACACCAGCATTGGAGAAAATAACTTTTCACTCTGCATTACTGAACAGCTCAGTATTTCCATCTGCACCAGCTCAAAGGCAGATGTCAGGATTGCAGCCCTCTGTATATTAAAAGCTCTAGAGAAGTTCAGCATTGTTTACCTCAGAGGGAGCTTGCAGAAAAAAAAAAAAAAAAAAAGAAAAAAAAGCAAAAATTAAGATCAAAATATCAGGGATATTTAACTTCAATTCATAACCAGGCCTGCGGGCTCAGATCAGGACTCTGAGATTTGTCTTAATCTAATTTTATGCAAACAATTCAGTGATAATGAAAGTTTATATAATCCACATCAAGGAAATCAGAGGGGTTCCCAAAACCTGTAATGAGAGCCGACATCACCGAGTGCACATCAGCAAAGCCAAACCCTCAGTACATGAGTGGCTCCAGAGAGCACTTGACAGAGACAGAGCTCCCTGCACACCCCAGCAGGCTCTGAGGCTTTTTGGGGGGCTGTGATGGGAGCTGGCAGCCTTGCCCTGGTTTGGGATGCCCAGGGCAGTCAGCCCCACTGCAGAATTTCCTCTCTCAGCAGCTTCTCCGTGCTCTTGGAGGTGCAGTGTTGGAACTCAAAATGTCCCTCAGACATTTTTGGAGGTTCCAGGCCTTGGTCAGAAGCATTTTAGACCCTGGCAGGCAGCTGGAAACAGCTGTGATTTTGGGTTTGAGCCATGGAATGAGTTACCAACTTTGAAGGTGGAACAAATGGTCACAAAGGGTTCGATATTATAGTAGAAGTAGTTACAAAACAGAGGGGAAAATTTTTTTGTGTTGTACAGGGGGGGTTTAACACCTGTACAGGGGGGTTTTTACTTTGTACAGGGGGGTCAGAAGTTTTAAAATGGAGGAAAGTGGACCTGATCCTGTTCTTCCTTCTTCTTCCTCACCTCCATGTTCTTGGTGATGCTGGCACTCATGGATTGGTTTAGAGTAGAAAAGCACCTTGTAACATAGATAGTAGGTATTGGGGAAAATCTGTAAACATATAACACGTAATATATCATATAAAAGACAGCAGCAGCCCTGGGCGAGGGAGAGAAGAAGCAGTCGGGAGTCAGAGAGGATGTCAGGGTGTGTGTGTGCCTCTGCCTGAGCTGTGAGCAAACCACAGCAGCTCAAGAAGAAAATCTTTTAGATAATTTGCAATAAACTGCCTTGAGACCAAACAACAAGAGGCTGCTGAGTTTTCTTTGGAAGCACAGGTTGGAGGAGAGATTTTTCCACCACACGGAGCCCCTGAACCAAGCCTGGGGTTCTCACAGTGCAGGGGGCAGAGGATGAGTGCAGGGCTCTCAGAGCAGATAGGGCAAATACTCATGGAGCAAATAAAGGCACAGAGAGGTGTGGAACAGGCTCCTGCAGGAGCACACCCCGCACACAGCTCCAGGAGGAGAAAGCCGAGCTGGCAGAGGCTGATCCCAGGGAGAGGCTGCCTGGGACACTCGGTGACACCGTGCCCGTGTCCCCTCCTGGCAGGAGGGCAGCACTGGCCACAGCCATACCTGGAGGATGACCCAGTGACCCTCCCTTGCAGCCACATCCAGAGCTTGCTCAGCCACCACCTCCTGGCCTTGGCCCAGGGAAACGTTGTGGAGGTTCCTGTGGTTGAAGGTGTAGCCCAGCTTCTTCCCTGGGAGGGAACAAGGAGAGATTTCAGCCACAAACCCTCACACAGGAGCTGTGAGAGCACTTCTCTGCTCTCATTCTCTTGCTCCCACCCGCTCCTTCTCAAGTGCTCAAACAGAGCAGCTTCCCCCAAACTCTTTAATTCCAGTGCAGCATCCACACAAAGGCACCTTATTACAAAGTGTTTCTTGTTTAAAGAACATTATTCCCCTGCAACCTGGTGTAAAAACACATTTTGCAGTGATAAGAAATTAAAATATTTTCCTGCTGATCAACCAGGCTTTGAAAAGCTGTTGCTATTGGCCACAAAATGAGTACACAGAAGCTTGGTAAATTCAAAAGAGAAAAACACCCAGTGTTATTCCAACATCTGGTATTTATAGAATTCCAAAGGTGACCAAGGATTGGAGGATGGAATTGCCACCTCTCCAACCACACTGGTCCAAGGATCAATCAATCATTTCTCTCCACCCACAGAGAAATTTGTAAACTATTCTATTTATCCATAAAATTGTGTGGGAACTCTGACTCTCAAATATGTAAACATCAGAAGGCTAAATAAGTTTTATGAGAACTTTAAAACTTTCAAAAGAACTATAAAAGAAAACTTAACACTTCTAAAAATCAGGCCAACAAACACCCACAGCTGACCTTCCACATGGACATCAGCTCCACAGCCGATCTTCCACATGGAAATCAGCTCCAAAGCTGATCACACACGTGGAAATCAGCTCCACGGCTGATCATCCATATGGAAATCAGCTCAGGAAGGATGGCAGGGAAACCTGGAAACTTTGCCACAGAGCAGCAATCTGCTACAGGGAGCTGTTCTTATTTTTAGTTATGATGAAATCACAGAATAGCAGGTTGGAAGGGACCTCAAGGGTCCTCTGGTTCAACCTTTCTTGGCAATAAGCATCTGGGAGCATGTGAGACATCTGTGATGTAAATCACAGGTTGTACACAAAGGCAGCTCGGAGATCCCTGCACTGTGAGCCACACTGGGAATCCAGGCAGCGCAGGAAAGAGATGAGTTTAATTTAAACTTCAGATGAAAATCCCAAAAACTTTAAGAAAAACAATAAAACCAAACCAATATCCCACTGCATCCTCTCACAATTATCTATTTTTAACAAATTACTTCTTTATCTACAAAGAGCTGAGGAAAAAAAACCAACCCAAAGAAAACAGGCATGTCGTGCTAAGATAATAATGCAGCAGATAAATAGCAATGCTGTGCTGTGCCTGGGGACAGGATTGATTTACCATGTTTCTCCACATCCTTCAGTGGGTCCACTCCTGGGGACAGGATGAAGAACATCGGGGTGCCAGGCCCTGATTCCTCAAAGGTTGTTGCAAAATCCAGCGATCTCCCCACCACGTATTTGCTGCCCAGCTTTTCTTCTACAAAATCTCTGCCAGAGAGAAAAAAACTGTTGCCAGTTTGTTGGGAAAATGCAGATTCCCCTGCAAATAATCTATTATTTATGGTGGAATCCCACAATTGTTCAGGTTGAGAAGACTCCCAGGGTTAGCAAGTGTGACCACTGCCAAGCACCGCTGTGTTCACCATTAAACCGTGTCCTCAAGTGTCCATCCACAGGGCTTCTGAGCACTTCCAGCAGTGGTGCCAGGGTTTGATAACTCTTCAACTGGAAAAGTTTCCCCTAATATTCAATCTAAACCTTTCCTGGTGCAACTTGAGGCTGTTTTCTCTGTCCCTGTCCCCCCTGGCTGTGCCCTGCTGGCAGGAGCTGTGCAGAGCCAGAAGTTCCCCCTGAGCTCCTTTCCTCCAGCCTGAGCCCCCCCAGCTCCCTCAGCCTCTCCTCGTATGACTTGTCCTGCAATTAGTTTTCATTTTGATGATTGAAATTATTTAGAAACTGAAATTAGGCAAATGAGCAGGAAATAATTGTGGGGAGGATCTGTGGGCTGGGTTTCCAGGGCTGTCCCTCAGGAACAATGCCTGGTGCTCTGCACAGGGCTGGGACACCAGAGGAGACACCAGCTCCTGACAAACAAAGGCAAGTGTGTCACACTACTACATGAAATAACTCATGTATTTGTTGTTTTGTTTCTTTGAGAGATTAATTTTTTTTAAGTTTTCTATAATTCCTGATATTTACATATTTCTGTTCAATTTTCTCACACTGTTCATGTTAACAATGATTGTTTTGTAATCTTTTCTGTGAGTAGAGAGAATTGATGATCTGTTGGTTTGACCAGTGTGGTTGGAGAGGTGGCAATTTCACCCTCCAATCCACTGTCACTTTTAGTATTTTATATATAGTGGAGTCAGAAAATAGTTTACTTTTTTAGTTCTTTTTCTTTCCTTTTTCATCTAACCTGCTTGTGTGAGTTATTTTGTGTTATAGTGTGACAGGTATAAACTTAAGATGCAGAAGAAGGAAAAGAGGAAGTTTTATTTCTGACTTTGTAATACATAGAATTTTAAAAGTGACAGTGGATCGGAGGGTGAAATTGCCACCTCTCCAGCCATACTGGTTAAACCAACAGTTTATTAATTCTCTTTTCTTACAGAGAAGAATGAAAACAATCATTATTTACATGAACAGTGTGTGAGAACTCCAGTAGAAATATGTAAACATCAGAAGGCATGGAAAACTTTTAAAAGAACTTTAAAACTCTTAAAATGACAGGCGACAAAGTGGGAAGGGAGAGCGGTGGGAGCTGCATCCACAGTGCGAGCACTGGCTTGGTTCTGGCTGGGGAATCTCAGGAGGGAAGAAAGGAGCTGAGGTGCAAGATCCAAGAAGCTGCTGCGTGTTGTGCAGCCCTGCAGAGGAAGCAGCGATGCACAGAAAGTCCAGAGGATTTACACGATTGCTTTGATCTGGAAAGCTGAAAGGGAAGAGCTCTAAGAATGGCTGGAGCATGGAGCCTTAGCATGAGAGTGACAAGGGAGAATACAAAGGAGTGAGCAGGGAAAGGCTGAGCTCCACAGCAGCTGCTGGAAAAAACCCCGTACAGGGAGAATGTTCTGGCTGGATTCCCCCAGGGTGAGCTCCTGACATCGCTGCTTTACACAAAGAGAGACACTGAGCACTGATTCAAGGGTAGCAATGTTATATTCAAAGCCCAGGAATGCTGCTGGAGCTCAGATGGATTACTCAGGCCTTTTGAAGGCAGCCAAATTCTTTCTAAGAGAGCTGAGATCCTCCTTCAAGGACTGCTGAAAGGCAGTTGGGATAGAAATGCCTAAGGGACTGCCAAAAAAACCCACAAAAACAAAGCACTTTCATATTTTTGGTACCCTCCTTCAAGTAGATTTTTCTGTTGAGGGTCGAGATTTGGTAAATTGCTGCTGGAAAGGCTCAGGTCACAAAATTTAACCAAGCCCATCAGATTTAAGGTCACAACACTATTGTTTTACTTCACATCTCAGCTCTTCGAAACTGCCTTGGGGACTCAGAAACACAAGGTGCCACAAGAAGCTTTTTGAATAATTCAATAAGATTGAAGGGGGAAAGAGATTTACAGGGGGTAATCCTTTCTCAGGAAATTACAGCACTGCTGGCCCTGGAGCTCCAAGGAGTGAGTCAGGAGCTTCTCCTGATGACTCCTTAGGCCTAAGGAATGAACCAGACTGGGCAAACACCCCCAGCAATCTGCTGGGAAGAGTGGCTGGAGACCTAACCTTCCCAGGCTTGGATCATCTTAAATCCCAAAGAAATCCTACACCGTCATCACGGAGCAGGTACACGGGGTGGGACACAAAGTGGCTTAGAGATGTCTGAACAGCAGCTGGAAATGAGGCTGGGATATTCCAGGGCATCTAAAATCCCCCATGCCACCTGTGGCTGGGCTGTAATATTACTCCTAAAATGCACCCATGGGCTGGTCAGGGAAAGAGGGGAAGATTTGGACTGGTTGTATGTTCGTGGTCAGCAGTGAGGTTGGCACATGAGATATTGATAACTGAGCTGTGCTTCAAGAAGAGTCCCCAGAGTCATGGGGAAAGCTCAGTGAACCGTTGCTGTTTGCACTTTGAGATAAGAAACAAAACAAAACAAAACAAAACAAAAACCCATTTAAATACTCCTGTGCAAACAGAAAAGCTCGACGTGCCCATACCCTAAAAATACCCAGCCAAGCTTTTGAACTTGGATTCCCTTTTCATGAAAGAGAGACAGGAAAGGGGCTGAAATTTGATGTTCCTGTTATTTCTGAGTAAGAAAGAAATGAATTATAGTTGCATAAATGCACCTAAAATTCCAAGAGCTTATTTTACCCAAGCTAAACAACAACAGGAAAACCAATATTTTCACCTGAGAGACACATGGAGAATCCAGCCATGAGAGTGAGAAATGAAAAAAGGTGGATTAATATCAGTGTTATGATAAACTGTAGTATTTATTATAATAAAAAATGATAACATTGACCACAAGGAGTTCCTCAGTCTTGTCTGTGTTTTTCTGTGAACCTTGAAGCACAAACTGATGTGGTTCATACACTGAGTAAAACACCCTGCTGTGTGCACATCAGGTGGTGCAGGAATACAAACTGCTGGAGAAACAGAGGCATGAGAGACACAGAAATGCCAAAACACTGCCCAGAGAAGGGAAAACCAAGTCCTCAGGGAGTGAAAGACCTTTAGTTCGTCCTGGAACGAGGAGGTTGCTTTTGCATAACTTCAGGAAGTTTAGCCTCGCCCAGTTACCTTCACTGCATTATTTACCACTACAACTTTCAGAACCACCAGCGCATAAATTTTGCATTTTACAGGAAAAAAAAAAAAAAGAAAAAAAGATAAAACCTCTGTAGGACATTTCTTTACTTCTACTCTCATTCTGGTAGAGAATGCCCAAACTGATCCAGTAACTAAAACGGATGTTCCCGAGCTCAGAGTGCAGCAGATGTGTGACAGCTGTGTGGTGATGCTCATTTCTGACTTGGCAGCTCTGCCCCTCAGCCTGGTTACACAGCTCCATCCCTGCTGCTGGCAGTGAGCTTGGGTCCCACTAGGCAAGAAATTCCACTTAAATCCAATGTGCTGATTGCTTGCAGAGCTCAGAGATCAATGAATCACACAAGGGTGGGCTGGAAGGGACATTAGGGATCATCCCATGGGCAGGGACACGTCCCACTGTCCCAGGCTGCTCCCAGCCCTGTCCAGCCTGGCCTTGGCACTGCCAGGGATCCAGGGGCAGCCACAGCTGCTCTGGGCACCCTGTGCTGGTACCTCCCACCCTCACTGCACTCATTCAAGACCCCTGATAGGAAACCACACTACAGAACTCGCATCCTAAAAACGTGCTGATATTCACAAATCCAGGCACACCCCTGAAATCCTCCTGCTGCCTACCTGTGGGAGTCCAGGGCTTCCCTCTGGCTGCCCTGGCAGGTCTGGGACCCTGGCAGGGGTCAGGAACCCCCCTGGACAGAGCCCCCAGAGACACTGGCTGTGATCTCTGTCCATGGAAAAGAGTTTTCAATCTTACAGGATGAATTACAAGCTCTGAGTGTTTGATATAAGTAATAACTAAGTGTGGCACAGGTGCAGAAGTAAAATTTTAGGTTTCTAGATTAGGGGTCCAAAGGGGACAAGATGGAGGAAATTGGGTGTGCCTTGTCCTTTTTCTCCTTCTTCATGCCCTCCATGTTTCACTGTGGTGTTGGCATTTTTCTGTTGGTTCAGGCTGGGGACACACTGTCCAACGTAGGTGACAGATATTGGCACGTTATTGTAAATCCAGCACAGGTAGTTTGTGGTATTTAATGTTTGTACCATCCCACTGAGGGCAGAGCCCCACACGCTGCCCTGCAGGACAGAGCTGCGGCAGGGCAGCAGAACATGTTAGAGATAAACAGAATAAACAACCTTGAAACAGCACAGACGAATTATGGCTTCTGCTTTGGCAGCGGGGCTGACAGACAGAGACTTTCTACAATCTGGGAATCATCAACACCTCAGATTCCAACACCCACCCAGCCCAGCGGTGCCCCAGACCCACCGGACGGCGCAGGGGACGCGGTCGGGCCGCAGGGCGCGCAGGATGCACAGGCGCTGCAGGGCTGACTTGTTCTTCCAGTCCTGCGGGAACCTCTCCTTCTCAGGACACTCCGAGTCAACAAACTTCTTCCACCGCTTTGCAGAGCCTTCAATATCCCGATCCAGGTTTCTGAATTCCTCCATGGATGAGAGAGCCTGGAAGAATTCAAGGAAGGTGAGGAAGAACAATCCTCTGTGCCTATGAACCATTTTTCTAATTCTACTGACTCCTCACGTTTTGCTCCACCAGGGAGCTGGAGTCTGGCACCACAGCCAGAAACCCACCAGGACCAGATTTTGTCCATTCCCCTTGGAAAGTTCAGTTCAGGGAAGGATGAAAGATTTTGGAATCAACCAGTGTGCCTAGTTCTTTACCCAAAAATGGAAGAATTCTACTTTCCTGTTTGGAGCTTTCACATTTCCCAACTCTGCACTGCACTGGGACATAACTCTGAGCTGCACACAAAGTGCCAGCAGCTCTCCTCACAGCTCAGGCACACACAACAATCCTTTCCAGCCCCAGAACCAAGGACACCGCTGCAGCTCCAGCCCCAAAAAGTGCAGCCAGCAGGGAATGGAGGAGAGCAGCCTGGGAGGGTGGGACTGCAGCACCTGGAGCTGGAACTGGGCACTGAACCCGATGTGGGAATGGCCCAGAACTCATCAAAGTGTGACAACTCCTGACTCTGAGTCCACCTTGGGCCCATCGTGGGTGCAGCCCTGGCTGGGCTCTTGTGCTGCCCAAGGTGTGTCCTTTGAGGCCTTTTCAGAAATCCCTGCTTTATTCCTTTAACACCATCTAGCCTCTGTTCCAGGCAGCCTCTCCTGTCATCATCCCCATGCCAAATTCCCAGGGATCCAGAGAATTCCAAGGAGACTGTGAGCAAAGGAGTGATTCAACAGCTGTTGTTTCCATGTGTGGATTTGCACCAACAAGGAGAAATGTCAGTGACAGAAGGACTTGCTCCAAACCCAGCACCAGTTCCTGATTTCTGTGAAAAGCCAGAAACCAGAGCACTGAACGTGAGAAACTGAAACTGCCAGGAATGATGGCACAGGTTCTCACCTGCCAAGCCCAGGTCCTTGCAGCAGTAAATGTATTCAGGGCACCTCTCATGGCTGAGCGAAATATAACGGCAAATGTTGAATTCGGGGAATTCTCAGAGCAAGTGCTCATATAAAACATCTCCTCACTGTTGACTTTTGACGTGATTTACTTAAAATATCACTTCAGAACTTTGGCTGCTGCTGCTCTGAGAAGTCTCTTGGCTGATGTTAACAAGGGAGACTCTGAAAAATTGCTTATTTCTGACTAAATGACAGGAATGATGGTCTCCCTCTCTCCCTGAACAACATATTGCAGAATCATGAAAGTTCTAATTGCAAATAAAACCTCTGTATTATATAAATAAACACTAAAATTGTCATTAGCCAACAATGTTAATAGCATTTATCAGGAGTGATGGTATTAATGGGAGATGCTTCTATTTAAAAGCCAGTGGAGTGAAAGGTCTCTCAATCAGCAATCTTTATAAGAATATTAATTGCTTTTCAATACCCCTGCTGTGAATTTTTCCAAGAAACTTATTCCAGAACTAAAGGATCCCTGTTCCCAGGCAGGAGTGGTACACTGGGGCAGCAGATGGGAACTGCACATCAACCTGTGCAGACTATCTATTTTTGTCCACATAATGAAAAGTACTTTTGTCACTTAGAGTTGTCATGGAAATTGAGAAAGACAAAAAATACTAGTCAAAATAGAAAATGATCCAAAGGGCTGGAGGACTCGAGCTCTTGTCTTTGCAGCCCACACTGTGATCACCTCTGTGGCTGGAAACAGGAGGGGCTTGAGTTTATGTCTCAAAATGAGACTTTTCCAGCAAAACAGGGCTCTCCATCCCATGGCAGGGAGAGGCTCCACCATCTTCTCAGAGAAAGTGGTTTTTCATTCAGTGAGTCACAGACAAGCTGCTTTATCACTTCGGGTTTCTCTGGCAGCTCCTGTGTGGTGAGAAGCAGCGTTCCTGTGGAGCTGGAGCGTCAGCAGCTCACACATCCCCAGATGCAGAGCTCTGCCAGGAAACACAGCAAGGAGCAGGCACTGCTGCAGGACACCAATCCTGGGTGCCACCACCGAGCTTGGGTGGCTCCACACCCCCAAGGATCTGAGGGAACACGGGGATCTTCGTGGTGGGACAGGGAGGAGAGGAACCCCTCAGAGTCCAGAGGAGCCCTTGGAGAAGAGGACAGCTCCACAGGGCTGCTGTCACTGCTGCTGCACACGAGGAATCTCCTGCTGCCAGACACAGCACAACAAGTTCTGGACATTTATTAGAGGGAACACTTGCTCTGATCACTAAAGGCAACCGTTCTAGGGAAGCCATCTGCTCAAACTGGCCTCAAGTTTAGGTGTTGCTTCACAAGATGTTATAAAACCTTGAAAAGACCCAAACACATATGTTAGCCCCATCTTGTCCTCCCCTCAGTTCTGAAAGGAATTACCCTTAAAAAAAAAAATATATATACATATGTTGTTTTGCATTTTAAAACATTTCCATAATTAAAACACCCCCTCCTCAGAGTCACCTGGCTAGAGAAGAGCTCAGGCAGGACAAAATCACCTCATTGCTGAGCCCTGTACTGACACAAACAGGGTGAAAATAAAACAGAGCCAGTAAAGGCAGAGCTGTCAGAACACGCCTAACACCCAGTCTGTAACCACCCCCCAGCAGCCACAGGACTGCATTTTAAAAGACAGAAGAAAATCAAAATAAAGGAATTTGAAAGTTTTTGTAAAAGCTATCATTATCATTTAAGGCTTCAGGTTATATCTGGTTTTTACTTTCATTTTTTTCTAACACATCTTGCTTTTCTTTAAAAAAACTTGTGTCTCTGCTTTAAAAAATTAAATTCTGTAGGGAACACATTGAACATCAAACATCTATAAAAATCACACAACCTGACAACACTGGAAAGAAATGATATTTAATATTCTCCCAGTTTTAATAATTGGTGAGATGATTAAATCCTGGTGATTAGTCATGATTGCACTTGCAGAGTTAAGGAGCTGTGGAATTTATGAATTGAGTTACACAGTTTTTAGGCAGAGATCCACAGAGGTCCTTGGTGGGCTTGAGGGGTTTGGAGTGGCTCGTGGGTGAATTTTGTGACCATGGTGGGATTCAGGAGAAGGTTGGACTCGAAGATCTTGAAGATCTTTTCCAACCTTCACGACCCTACAATTCTGTGATCCCCCAAGCACTTTGTTAAGGTCTTATGCTGTCCATGGGCACATTTCAGCTAACATTGATAATTCCTTTCTTTCATTTCCTGCAGCTGGCTCAGGAGTCTTTAGGAAAACCAGCATCCCCACAGCTGGAAAACGACAGCTCCTGGAAGAATGGCAAAGCCAGAGCTGCACCTGGCCTCGATTGATGGATTGGATCATTCAGGAAAAAGACGTATAGGCAGATGAATTGCTCCATTTAAATACTACTGTTAACTAGAGGAATTAATGTAGCAGATGATGGATTATTTACAGCCTCTCCCATCCTGGGTTTTGGGTTGTATTATTCATACACTGAAGGTGTTATTTTCTGTTTAGCCGCCCTACCTGAATAATTTAACTCATAAGAAAAATACCTTCCAAGGTGAAAATAAAATTTGATGGGGTTTGCCAAGCTTCAATCAACTTTCAACACAAAAATATTATTTTAACCCTCCTTATTTCTTTCATAAAAGCTGACTGACAAGCTCAAGGCACTGTATGGCCCTGTCTCCTTTCAAACTCCTCCTTGCTGCTTCTACATTTTAATGGGGACAGGAGGTGTGCAGAGCCCCACCACATCACTGTTCAAACCCACCCTGTTATCTGCAGGGTCCCAGGGTGTCACAACATGCAGGGTGGACACCACAAGCAGTCTGATGAGCGATGGGTCAGACCTCAGCACCTTTCCTCAGAAAATTTCCAGTGGAAAATCACAAACTGGGGAACAATGGCTCCAGCACTCATCTCCTTCCTACCAGTGTGTTCTGAGAGCCAGCTCCACTTGATGGGAAAGGTCAGTAACAGAAATGAGACTTAGTCACAGTCTTTGTATTCTCATTGCTTACAGCCACCCACCATTTTTCCTCATTTTGCCTGAGATGTTTCCCAGATGGGTTCATGTTGACATTTTCTCTGCATTTTCTAAAGAAGTTGTTCAAGTGGGTTTGAGACGGGGCCTTGCAAAGTCAGGCTCTTCTCCCAAGCCATGCTTTCCATCTTTCCTCTTCGCTCTTGGATGCCTCTCAGCAATCAGGGACACACAGCCAGAACCAGAAGCTGGGCACGGGTCCCTGAGGGCAGCTGAAAGGTGATACTTGTGTATTTCTGAAAACTTTCCTGGATTTGGTTGTTATAAACACAAGATGGGCCAATGCACAGCAAAACTGAAAGAGAAAATACATCCCATTGTCTGCAAGAAGTCAGAATTCAGCTGGAGCAGCTGTTCCAAATGTCCTTTTGAGAGCTGGAAAGCTCTCAAGGTCCACTGCCTGCTGTGAGTATTTCCTGCACATTTCTTCTCTTTACTGACACAGGGAGCCAACTGCTTTTTCTCTTCCCGAGGACACTCTTGGAGATCAGACCTTCCTGGCCTCTCAGTCCTGAGGTCCTCAGACAGAACTTTTCCCCTCTCCTCAGTCTCTTGTGTTTTCAGGTGTCTGAGCGGAGAGCAGAGGGCTCCTGGTGGGGTACTGGGGTCCACTGATGTTCTATGCTCACGTTGTGGGAATGAAACACAGATCATGAGAGCCTCCAAAAAAGGCCATCTCCTGTTCCCCAACCCAGGGAGAGCTCTGGTGTTTACCCAGAGGTCACTGCCAGGCAGAGTTGAGCTGAGCACTGGGTCTGCAATCTCCACAGCTCCTCATGTGAACCAGCACAGGCAGGGAAAGGAACCAGGGAGCGGGCTCTGCCACACAGTGAGGAGCTCCAGCACGTCCTTCAGCACTGGATCAGAGAATTGTTTAGGTTAAAAAGGACCTCTAAGATGACCAGGTCCTCAAATGCCACATCCACATGGCCGTTCCCTCTCCTCCTGTCCCTGTTCCCTGGAGCAGAACTTGACCCCCCGGCTGTTCCCTCCTGTCAGGAGCTGTGCAGAGCCAGAAGT